TACTTACTCTTTACTTTTTTCTCCCTTTTTAGTTCTGGGATAAGATTCAATTTCAAGTTCAATCTAGAGAGAAGAGGGGAGAGAGAAGAGAAAAAAAAAGGAAAATGGTGTAACTAAATCCCTTAGTTGAAGGCACTAATAATGGATTGGGAGCCTTTTAAGATGTAATGTATATAATTTGTAAGTAATCCTTGTTTAGGACGGGTAATATACAAAATTAGAACAATTTTGGTAAATAAGTTTCAATAGTGTATTGGAACGAAAAAATCCCTAATATTTATTGTCTGAATTCAGATATAAATTTTTAAAGTTATTGGAATAAAATTTAAATATTTGAAAACCACATAAACTACATTCATAATTTAATAATTTCAAAATATTTAAGAAAAGTATGGTCAAAGAAGAACCTCTTTGACATCTCCAAATAGTGATGTTGTCACATAAATTAAAACGGAAAAATATCATTTATTTAATACAGCTAGATTAGCAATCGGAGTGGACATTTGAGCGAAGGTTGGTAGTACAGTTTATAGACAAAGAGACTGATGATGCAGCTCCATCTGAGATAGAAACAATTTTAGCATGTGCTGGAAATAATTTAACAATGCCCTGACAATTATCTCAGTCTCCATTTCAGTCCTATAAGTGCAAAATATACATAAATATATTAGAATAATAGTGCATTTGAAACGTCGAAAACTAGTGGTGTTGTGTTGCAAATGGCAACAGCTACGGGGTAAATCTAAAATATTCAATATATTTCTAACATTACTTCAAAGCCATTGGAGAAATTGGTTTAAATTTTGAAGGATAATGGTTGATATTTTATTCCTGCCAAAGTCGGAGTCAGAATTTGAAGCTTATGCCGGTACTTTTGTCCTTTTAAGTTATTGAGTTATAAATTAGTAATAAATTAAACATATTCAATGAATTTCTTAAAGTAAATATAGAGTTTGAATCAAAATTATTAGGTTCAGCCGAACCCGGAACCTACACACTAGCTCCGCCTCACATGTCAATGAAGAAAAATAATCACGAACCAAGGCGACCAATTGAGAATTTAATTTTATTTCTGTAGTACAAACGTGGTACAATAACGAATATTAATTGCAAAATCTTAAATTACACAAAAAACCAGAATAATCCGCTGAAGGTTGTAAATTTTTAAGAATTTAAAATTAAAAGCTTGATACGCCATTCAGCAAAGGTTCTTGTCGTCGTTCTCTCAAAAAATATTGTAAAATTAATGTATCAAAATCATCTTGAAGGTTGAGGCATAAAAGAATTAAAAAAAAAGGTTCTGTCCAGAAATTATTAGTCCAACATTGGTCAAAGGGTTCTGTTTGAAAATTATCAATGGAGTTTGCCCAGCAAAAGGAGTCTGGTAATGATTCCACTAAAGTGAAAATTGAAAGTAGTTCCATTGACCTGTTGTAATCTTCTTCAACTTTAACTTTGATAAATCAGTTGATGAAACCTCTACTGAAGTGTCAATGGCATTTAAACTAGCCGATGGCAACTCTTTCGTATCACAGCCAGCATCCTGTTCTGAAACTTTGCAAGAAGATTGCTCATCTTGAGATTGTGAAGATTCAGTAAATTGCTCAGTTGACGTTGATGAATTGGTATGTGTATTCGCACGTTTCTTTAGATGAGCATGCCACTGGTTTTTGATATCGTTGTCCGATCTTCCTAGTAATTTTTCTGCAATGGCTGACCATCTGTGCATGTTTTGATACGTTAGGAACATCTATATATAGTACTACAAAACAAAATTATTGGGTATGCGAATGAAGTCCTATATTTGTTGCTGAAAAGATTGCGAGTCTACATATAAGATATAGGAATCTCTTAATGGTGTCAAGCCTTTTGGAAAAAATCGTGTGAGCTTGGCACAATATCACATGATCATATTAAGAGTATATCTAGACCCAACAAAAATAATTAGTAATAATGAGTTACAACTTAGTTTAATTGATAATGTAATGTCTTAGGGCAAAATACCTGTTTCCGAGTTCATTGTGTAATTTAATAATGAGTTCCTCTTCTTCAAGGCTATAATTCCCCTTCTTTAAACAAGGCCTCAAGTAATTCATCCATCTCAGTCCGCGGCTCTTCCCATATCTCATTAGACCTGAAAAATATCCAAAATAAATACTTCCTCCGTTTCAATTTAAGTGAACCTGTTTGACTGGGCACGGAGTTTAAGAAAAAATGAAGATTTTTGAAATTTGTGGTCCTAAACAAGTCAGAAGGGACCCAGAGTATTTATATGGTTATAAAAGCTTCTCATTAAGGGTAGAACTGTAAGTTTAAGCTAAATTGTTACCAAATTTAGAAAGTGGTTATTCTTTTTGGAACGGACCAAAAAGGAAATAGGTTCACGTAAACTGGAATAGACTGAATACGTACTTTCTCTTCAGCAAAAAAGCATATAGTAAACCATTTTGCTAAAAGGAAATGAGAAGAAGATTGGGGCTCCATATTCTAACCAGCATATTTAGGCAATTGCCGCCAAATCGAATGGCCATGTTTTTCCACAAAAACTCTTAGTTTTTTGTCTTCATCTTCACTCCATGCACCTTTCTTCATTCCATTTTTGTCAATAGATGGAGTTCTCACCATTTTCTTTGCAATTATAAGTACTATTCGATCTCTCTTTAATTTTTTTTCTTGATTTGATTTCTTTACCTAAAACTGTATCTGACCAACTTGCAGTCTGAACTGTCTGCTCTTATATGTGATTCGAGTAAACAACTGAAGCCGTGTTTCTTATTAATATATCCCTCAACTAAACCAAACAAGAATTTGTTTTGTTTTTAGAATAAACTATAGAAATCCCCCAAACCCACACGCACTCCCAATTATAACGGATATCCAATAAAGATAGTGTAGCAGTCTGCTACTATGAAGATTTAAGAGAAAGGCAATGAAACAATAAATGAAGGAAAAAGAATTTAAAATGTCAATTTTGTTATATCTGGATACGTTTCTGAATATAAGGATCGGCAATATATGCCTAACGAAAGAAGAAAAGGACAGCTAGTTTTGTGTAACAAACCAATTAACAAAATGACACGTGTCCTGCTTCTTGAACCTAAGAGGACTTAATTGAAAAAGTAAATACTACTGGACTAGAATAGAAATAACTAAACTAGATAGACTTAATTAATAACTCCTTCATATGGCTCTCATCAGCGATGAGTCCTACACTCCATCCCCCATAAGGAATCTTGATGTAATTCAAGGTTCAAAATTAGGAAATTGGCTCTTCAAGAAACCGTATTCCTCCCATGTAGCTTCTTCAGGAGCCAAATTTGCCCATTGCACCAACACTTCTACCACTACTTTGTTCTTCTTTTTGACCATCCTCCTTTCTAAAATCTTCAATGGCTCAGTCAGAATCTGGCCATCTTTAGTGCAGTAAGGCGGATCTTGGGTGGCAAAAGTCTTCTCCCCAATTTTCTTTTTCAATTGTGAAACGTGGAACACAGGATGTATCTTCGATCCCAATGGCAAGCGGAGTCCGTAGGCAACTGAACCAATCTTTCTGATTACTTCATAAGGACCGAAATAGCGAGCTGAGAGCTTCAAATTTTTCCTCACTGCCACAGAGGTTTACCGATAAGGCTGTAATTTCAAGAACACCCAATCCCCTACAGTAAAGTTTCTCTTCTTCCATCAGTATAATTCTTCATCCTTGCTTGTGCCTTTGTGAGATTATCATGGAGGACCTTGGACATCAATTGCCTTTCTCTTAAGACTAAGTCTGCAGATTTAAGCTTTGTTTGAGCCACCAGCTCGAATGTGGGTTGGGGATGATCATACCCATATAGAGCCTTGAAGGGCGTCATACCAATTGCTGAGTGAAAATTCAAATTGTACCAAAGTTCAGCCTATGCCAACCATTTGCTCCACTCAGAAGGTTTATGACCCGTCATGCATCTAAGGTATGTCTCCAGACATCGGTTCAACCTTTCTGATTGCCCATCCGTTTACGGATGATAAGCAGTACTTGGTTTTAATTGTACATGTAACCCCTTGAATAGCTCCTTCCAGAAAGTGCTAACAAAAATTGGATCCCTGTCTGAAATTATTGAGCTTGGCATTCCATGTAACTTGCATATATTATCTAAGAACACTTGAGAGACTTGATTAACTATGTAAGGATGAGCAAGGGCAAAGAAATGATCAAACTTTGTGAATCTATCTATTACCACAAGTTTGAATCTTTACCATTGGATTTAGGCAATCCACTGATGAAGTCCATTGCAACATGTTCCCAGGCTCGCGAAGGTATTGGCAGTGGTTGGAGCAGGCCAGGGTAAGCAACACTCTCCCCCTTATTTCTCTGGCAGGTCTCACATTCCTTGACATAATTCTTGACATCCTGTAATAAAGTAGGCCAATAGAATAAGTTTCTAAGCCTCTATTGTGTAGCATGTATACGAGAGTGACCTCCCCAGGGTGATGAATGCATCTCCTTACTTAACTTTTGCCGGAGCTCACCATGATTTCCCACCCAAACTCTTCCATTTTGCCTGATAATACCATCTCGGATCTGCACCCCTGGAACTGCATTAGGATCTACAGATAACTGAATGGAAGTGTCTTGAACAAGTGCATCATTTTGATAACTTTCTAAAAATATCTTCAGCCCATTTCGGTTGAAAAACTGTCAGTCCGGCACAATCACCCTCATCATACTTCCTTGAGAGTTCATCTGCGGCTACATTTTCAGCCCCTTTTCGATAATGAATCTTATAGCTAAGACCCAATATCTTAGTGACTCCCTTGTGCTGCAATGAGGTGGTCAACTTCTGATCTTTGAGGAATGTAAGGCTAAAATGGTCTGTCTTGATGATAAAATGATTAGGTTGTAGATAATGTCGCCACTTACCGACAGCATACAATAGTGCAATTAGCTCCTTTTCAAATATTGGAAGCCCCATGTGCCTTGAGCTTAGTGCTTGACTGATAAAGGCAATGGGCCTCCCATTTTACATTAAAGCTGCCCCTATTCCCTTTCCACTAGCATCTACTTCCACAATGAAAGGTATTGCGAAATTTGGCAGGGCTAATACTGGGCCTTGGACCATGGCTTGCTTCAGCTCTTCAAAAGCTTGGGTTGCTTCCATGGACCAGCTGAAATTTCCTTTTTTTAATAGGCTAGTCAAGGGCTTACTAATTGTAGCAAAATTTCTGATAAACCTTCTATAGTAGCCCGTGAGGCCCAAGAATCCCCTCAATTCCTTGACTGATTTGGGCTGGGTCCAATCTAGCATAGCTTTGATTTTAGACTCATCAGTACTCACCCCATGTTTCGAAATGACATGGCCCAAATATTCAACTTTGTCTTGGCCGAAACTGCATTTTGACTTCTTGATCAACAGTTGGTTTGCTTTCAACAACTCAAACACCATTTGTAAATGCTTCAGGTGTTCTGCCATTGACCCACTGTAAACAAGAATGTCATCAAAAAATACAAGCACAAATTGCCTCAAATAAGGCCCAAAGATCTAGTTCATAAGTGCTTGAAAGGTGGCTGGGGCATTCGTCAACCCAAAAGGCATGACTTTAAATTCACATAGCCCATGTTGTGTGCGAAAAGCTATTTTGTATTCATCCCCTTTATTCATACGAATTTGATGATAACCGGACCTTAAATCTAACTTATTGTAAATTCTTGATCCATGTAGCTCATCAAATAAGTCTTCAACAACTGGTATGCGATATTTATTCTTAACAGCGGCCTCATTCAACTTGCGATAATCCACGCACATACGCCAACTAGAATCTTTCTTTTTAACCAAAAAGGACAGGTGAGGCAAATGGTGAAACACTTCTGGCAACTGTTTGGGCCTTCAACATTTCCGCTACGATCTCTTCAATGGCATTTTTCTGCTCAAACGAATATCAATAAGGCCTTAAATTTATGGGCTCAGCTCCTGGAACCAGCTCTATGGCATGGTCACAATCACGACTAGGACGCAACTTTTGGGCTCTTGGAACAAGCCCTCGAACTGGCCCAACAACTTGCTCACTGCTTGGGGAATCACCTGATCATTTTCTGTTAAGTTCATCAAGAACATTTGAGCCGCAAAGTTACATTGTGCTTTGCTGAGTAATTTGGAAATGACTTTAGTATCCACCTTAGAAACTTTCCCATCATCTGGACAACCCTTTAATGTAATTATTTCTGACTCGTAAATGAACGAGACACTCAATGGCTTTGTGTGCAACACTATTGGTGAAATAGTGTCAACCCAATCCATTCCCAGAGCAATGTCACAACCCCCTACTTTCAGCAATCTAATGTCAAAGATGAATTTCTTGTCTTGCATTTTCCATTCGAATTTCCTGCACACATGCTTGCATTTGAGGTATTGGCCATTGGCCACTTTAACCTCCATGGGTCTGCCCAATTCTTCTACCCCACCTGAACTGGACTTCACTATCATGGGATCTACGAAACTATGGGTTGACCCACTATCCAACAATACCACAACCTTTTGGCCCTTGACCCATCCAGTAATTCTAATTGTTGAAGGGACCTCGCTCCGACCCATTATAGCATTTAAGGTTACTTCAGCTTGTTCCTGGCCCAGTTCCGCCACAACCCCTCCCTCTTGTTCCTCCAATCCATCTACTGCATCAACAAACTCCTCAGCTTCCATAGCATTAAGAGTTTCATTTTTACAAACATGTTCAGGGAAATAGGTGTCATGGCATTTATAGCATAGATTCCTCTCCCTCGACATTTCTAGAGTCATATTCTTTGAATTTGGATTACGGGTGTTCACAGCAGGTGGGTTCTTGGGTAGAGTGGGCTTGGGTAATATGGGCTTATAGCTGGACTGCGAGTTTTTGTGATAGGATTTAGCCAACCATTGTTTATCCATTTGCTTATAAAATGCATTGAAGGATCTCTCATGAAACTTAGCACACTTGTAACCTGCCAATAAAGTTTTGGGCCGAGCAAACTGTACGAGTGGTAATATGTCCGGTTTAAGCCCACCAATAAAGCAACACACAAAATGGGGTTCTTTTAACGCAGGATTAAGGATCATCATTAAGCTTTTTAACTCATCGAATCACCTCTGGTAAGTCTCCACATCAGTGGTTTGTTCAAGTCGATTGAATTCTTTAACAATCTCCACCGGATCATTATCACCAAAACGTTCACATATATCGTAACAAAATTGGGCCCAAGATACAGTACCATCATGATCAGCTAAATACCTATCAAACCAATGGTCCGCAAAATCCTTTAAATGAATAGCCACATAATCAATTTTTTCATCATCCGCCACTTGGTATAAATCAAAAAACTTTTGACATCTTCTCAACCAACTCCTAGAATTTATTCATCAAACTCCGGAAATAATAACTTGGCTTCCGGTAGTTTGGATGTGGATCCATGAGAGTCAGGCCCGTTTTGATTCTGAGAAGTGCCAACCAGTGGGATCTGCTGAAAAGTTCCAAATGGAATGGATAAGGACTGTGTTATTGTGTTTGTCACGGGCTGAGTTATCGGACAAGTCGAATATGGCTCATAGAGGTTAGCCATACTTTGGGTAACTGTAAAAGGATATGATTGGGGTAAAAATGGTTGTGTGTACATTGGGTAAGGATTTGACTGGGGAACTAGTGGTTGAGAGGCCATTTGATATGAATAAGTTGGTGGGTTACTTGGCTGGTTGTTTATAAGATAAGAGGTTCTTGGTGGAATATAGGTTCTGGTAGTTAAAGGATAAGAGTGAGAGGGTGGTCTGAAAGCTGCAGCTGAAGGGTTCAAGGAAATTCCAGTAATGTTTTCAACTTGGGATCGTGAATTAGCTGAGACACTTCCTAGCTGAGGTGGTGAGGATAACGGTACTGCTCGAAGCCCTGTGGTAATGGAAGGTGAAATTGGAGGAGTGTAGCTCTGTAAATTACCTCCAACCGACGAGAGGCTTGCTTCCAAAGAAGGTCCGCCATGGATTCCAGAGACGGAAGACCGAACTGATGAAGAGTGTTTCGCCTTGTTTTGACCGCTCATTTGCACCAACATCTCCTCAATCCTTTCAATCCGCTTCGACGAGTCAGAAAACTCCACCATATAAGCTTAAAAACTCCCTTGCTTCTCCTCTACTTTATCCATCCTCTGTTCCGATTTTTTCATGAAAACTTGTAGCTGAACTTCAACCCTTCTAAGTCCGTCATCATCGGACTGATTTTTATGTTTATCCACCATCCTTGAATTGCCAGGATCGAGCTTTGGATACCAATTTGTAGCAGTCTGCTACTATGAAGATTTAAGAGAAAAACAATGAAACAATAAATGAAGGAAAAAGAATTTAAAATGTCAATTTTGTTGTATCTGGAAACGTTTCTGAATGCAAGGACTGGCAATATATGCCTAACGAAAGAAGAAAAAGACAGCTGGTTTTGTGTAACAAACCAATTAACAAAATGACACATGTCCTGCTACTAGAACCTAAGAGGACTTAATTGAAAAAGTAAATACTACTGGACTAGAATAGAAATAACTAAACTAGATAGACTTAACTAATAACTCCTTTATATGGCTCTCATCAGCAATGACTGCTACAGAGAGTGTTTAAGTTTCTTGACTCTAGTGATAGGCGGCCACCAACTGAAGATCCTGTTGGGTTTGTTATTTAATAAATAATAACAAAAGAGGTGTGAATGGAAAATGGTGGAAAAAAAAATGGAGGGATGACCCGCGACCCGGTCCGGTCTAGCCCGTTTTTCTTTCCCGGATTAATTTAAATTCGTTTTAAATTTCCCGCAAAAATTTCCAACAGCCATGGCTGTTCTGAAACAGTGTCACACCTGTTCCAACAGCCATGACTATTCTGAAAGGTTGCAAACCTCTTCAGAGGGTCACACCTGTTCCAACAGTCATGACTGTTCTGAAAGGTTGCAAACCTCTTCAGAAACATCACCAAGTTGGCCATAAATAGACCTTCAAATCCCAGAATATTTACTTACGAAATTTTCTGATTATCTTCTTCTTCTTCTGCACTAAAATTCCAGTGTGTTTTGCTGCCATCGAGTGGTTCGCTGATCATCGGCATTTTTGGTACCGACACTCCGGTGAGTTAAATCGTTCTATCCTGGGAGGATATATTCCATAACCTCGGGTACTTGAGGGGAATAATTTTTCTTAAGGACACACTGTGTATTCAGTGGGCTCGATTTGTTCCTTCAACGTTTCAAAAATTATTTTGAAGTTCGAATATTATTTTTCAGAATTGTTTCTACTAACTTTCTGTTTTATTTTTCAGAAAGATTACTGTTTTATTTACTTACAGCAGTACAGTTTAAATAACAATCTTAAGGAAAATTATATATATTATATTTTGTATTCTGTCTGAATTTTACTATTCTGATTTGAAGATATAAAAACTTCATCACAGTATTGAAATTCAGAAAACGATTTGAAGAACATAAAAACTTCATCGTTTTTCTGTAAAACAGTATATAAAAACCTTAGTTGTTTTTATTACGTACTGTTTATTGATTACAGTATTATTTATTATTTTGGTTTTGCCATTAATTGATTTCTTCTGTTGTTGACAGTAAGAAATGGCAAATGAAAATGGAAATCCTTCTGCGAGTGTTGGTGCAACGACGATAGCCTCGTCAAGCCGCACTGCTGTTCCTCCGGCTAAGAAACCGGGGAAATTTTCCGAAACCAACTTTAAAGGATGGCAGCAAAGGATGTTCTTCTGGCTTACCACACTTGGTATGCAGAAATTCACTAGTGAAGAGCCTCCAGTGCCTGCTGCGGACATGCCGGACAATGAAAAGTTCATGGTTGTTGAGGCATGGAAGCAGGCAGATTTTCTTTGCAAAGGCTATATCTTAAGTGCTTTAGAAGATGACTTGTACAATGTGTACAGTGCAATGAATACTTCGAAAGAATTATGGGACGCACTTGAGAAGAAGTACAAGACAGAAGATGCATGCTTGAAGAAGTTCGTGGTTGCCAAGTTTCTAGACTATAAAATGATAGACAACAAAACTGTGGGAACCCAAGTTCAGGAGCTTCAACTTGTTTTTCACGACCTTATTGCTGAAGGTATGGTCGTAAATGAAGCATTTCAAGTGGCTGCTATGATTGAAAAATTGCCTCCTTCGTGGAGAGATTTCAAGAACTATCTTAAGCACAAGCGTAAATAAATGAAGTTGGAAGATCTTGTGATACGTCTAAAGATCGAGGAAGACAACAAAACAGCCGAGAAGAAGTCTCGTGGAAATTCAACGATCATGGGAGCTAATATCGTTGAGGAGACTGCTCCAAAAAGTAAGAAGAGGAAGAGGTCTTCTGGACAAACTAAGGAGCAGAACAAAAAGAAATTCAAGGGCAGCTGCTACAATTGTGGAAAAGTTGATCACAAGAGCCCTGATTGTCGTCTCCCGAAAAAGGATAATAAGAAAGGACAAGCCAACATAGTGGAAAAGAATAATGATGTTGATGATCTTTGCGCAATGCTTTCGGAATGCAATTTAGTTGGAAATCCGAAGGAGTGGTGGATTAACCCTGGAGCCACTCGACATGTTTGTGCTGTCAAAGAAGCATTTGCGACTTACTCTACTGCTGGTCCGGAAGAAGAAATTTCCATGAGAAATAATGCAACAACCAAGATTGAAGGTTATGGGAAGATATTCCTGAAGATGACTTCCGGCAAGGTGTTAACGCTCAACAACGTTCTTCATGTTCCTACTATTAGGAAGAATTTAGTTTCTACTTCTTTACTTGTAAAGAATGGATTCAAATGTGTATTTGTTTCTGATAAAGTTGTTGTAAGCAAGAACGAAATGTATGTTGGAAAAGGCTACCTCACGGAGGGCCTTTTCAAACTCAATGTAATGGTTGTTGACAGTATGAATAAAATTTCAGCTTCTTCTTATTTATTGGAGTCAAATGATTTATGGCATATTCGTTTAGGACATGTCAATTATAAAACCTTGTGGAAGTTAATTAATTTAGAAGTATTGCCTAAATTCGAGTGTAATAAATCGAAATGTCAAATATGTGTTGAATCTAAGTTTGTAAAACATCCTTATAAGTCTGTTGAAAGGAATTCAAATCCTTTAGACTTAATACTGACATTTGCGATATGATCGACACCATCTAGAGGTGGAAAAAAGTATTTTATTACTTTTATTGACGATTGCACTAGATATTGCTATGTTTATTTGCTTAATAGTAAGGATGAAGCAATTGAAGCATTTAAGCAATACAAGAATGAGGTAGAAAATCAATTGAATAAAAAGATCAAAATGATTAGAAGTGATAGAGGTGGAGAATATGAATCTCCGTTTGCAGAAATATGTTCGGAATATGGAATTATCCATCAAACTACTGCACCTTACACACCTCAATCCAATGGAATTGCGGAAAGGAAAAATCGGACATTAAAAGAAATGATGAATTCTTTATTAATAAGTTCCGGATTATCGCAGAGTTTGTGGGGGGAAGCTATCCTTACAGCTAACCGAATACTCAACAGAGTACCCCACAGCAAAATGCAATTTGTTCCATATGAAAAACGGAAAGGAAGAAAATCCAACTTGAAATATTTTAAAGTGTGGGGGTGTCTAGCAAAGGTCTTTACCTAAAAGGGTTAAAATTGGACCAAAAACAGTAGATTACGTTTTTATTGGATATGCTATAAATAGTAAAGCTTGTCGATTTTTGGTTCATAAATCTGATAATCCTGAGATTCATGTTAATACGGTAATGGAATCAGATAATGCTGAATTCTTTGAAAGGATCTATCCGTATAAAACTTTTAGCGAGTCGTTAAGTGAAAGACCTAAACGACCTCGGGAAGAACCAAAGGAAAATACTCCAAGTATAGAAGATCCAAGGCGTAGCAAACGTCAAAGAACATCTACTTCCTTTGGACCAGATTTTGTGACATTCTTGCTTGAAAATGAGCCTCAAACTTTTAAAGCAGCTATGTCGTCTTCTGATTCAGCATTTTGGAAAGAGGCAGTCAATAGTGAGATTCAATCAATTTTGGATAATCATACATGGGAATTGGTTGATCTTCCT